TATATATATATATATATATATATATATATATATATATATATATATATATATATATATATATATATATATATATATATATATATATATATATATATATATATATGGAATCGTTAAAGTTCAACATTCCACTGTATTTTTAATCAGTTCTCGTCCATATCAATGTCCTCTTTTAATTACATTCACTTTCATTATCTTCACTATCACTTGGCTCTTCTTCATCATTCGATCCATCATCGCTATCACCACCACCATTAAAACATTCTTCAGGATAAAGGACAGCAAAAACGTTTTCCTGAGCCTTTTCTGGGAGCATGGGCGTACAGACCTACCCTTGTGTGTGTGTGTGGGGGGGGGGGGAATAGTATTAGTTTGCCCGACCGCTTTGCTTATAACAGTACACATATACAACTTTGTTCGAGATTTTATCGGGGATTTTTTAAAGGATTTTCTCATGGGGAGGGGGAATTTTTGAAAAGGGACCTTTGTGTGAGATAATATATTAATGGGGGATAGCTATGCGGCCGACATACCACGCATGAATCCCTAGCGGGTCTGGGGGCATACTCCCCCAGAAACATTTTGGAATTTGAAGCTCGGAAATGCAATTTCCTGCATTCTGAGCATCCAAATTTGCTCTAAAATTTATGCTAACGATACTTGTATTTGAAATAAAAGAAGGAAACAACGCGCAAAAAATAAATAAATTATTAACAAAAATTTATTATTACTTAGTGGTAAAAAAACGTAACAATTTAAATCGATTTTGTTAAACAAGGACAAAGGATAAAGCCTAAAACTTACTTTCCGTGTATATATCTATTTGTTATTCTTCGCTGGTTTGTTTGTATAAATTTAGGAAAAGGGGCCTTTTCCTGGCGGGGGATGTGATTTCGTGGGGGCACAAGGAGGGAGTCGACTGTGAGGGCATCCTCCCCAGCTTGTATGTTATTTTGTACGGTGCTTTTATATGAACAAATGAGTATGATTGTGTAAAGGCTGCTATAGCAGAAGTTTAACCGAAATGTCTAGAAACAGTAAGACAAAAACTAAGAACAATGCCCAATGGCAATGTACGTTTCTGCAATCTTCATAATTTTTGCCATAAGCCATCATCATTCATACACAGGTGTTCTAGTATATGGCAAAGTATATTGAAAGCAATTAATATTGGCGTTATTATATTTAATCATTCATTCGTATCAACTTTGATGAGAGTTATATGTTTTGCCCGAATGACACATGGATTTCTGCTCAATTGCCCGACCGTAAAAATTGGGGGGGGTGGGGGAGGATGTGCCCCCGTGCACACGCCTATGTCTGGGAGATTGTTTATAACAAGGCTTAGTGCACCACTGCTAAGATACGGTTGTTGCAGCAAAATTAGCAAATGCGCTACACATTGAGCGTAAATAGTTCGAAGGAAACACTTTCCACATCTATAAAATATTTGGGGGCAATAACATTGGGTGGATAGGTAAGAAATTCCTTCAGATCTGGAATTGGGCATTTGACGCACAGGTTATATATTTCTGAAATATTTTTCTGAAAACGGTTTCGCTTCCTAGTAGCAGCTTCGGTTTTGTTTTCTTTTTTCCTTCTTTTTGTTGTTGTGTGCTTGTTGTGTATCCCTTTAAAAACTCTCTTGCGCACTTCAAGCGGTTTCTCCAGTTTTTCAAGGTTTTCGTATATTTTCTTAATTTTGGCTACCATGCATGGAAGATAGATGTTTTTCATTAAAGGCATGGAGAAAGTCGTTGCCAATAACTAGTCTGCGACCATCTGGCGTGAACAATAAACCATCATGAGCTTTAGAAGTCTCGTGCAGAACATTTAATTTGGTCTTTATCTTCTTAAGCTCTGGGCTTCATGCTCTGGGCTTCACGCTATAGTCGAAATTGCTTGCTGTTTTCTCCCAATCGTCCGCTTTCTTGAAGAGGGCTTGCTCAAACTGCATAGTGAGATCAAATTGTCTGCATCGTTCAACAGTAAATCGCTTTTTGAATGATAGGTCACTTTCACCAGGCTTTCGCATTTTGGTATGAGCCTCTTTCATTATGCTCACGTTGTACTTCGTTCTCTCGCCTTGTGGATTGGCAACATAACCCAGTCTTATTTTTCTGAGATTGACTGGGATAGGTCTATTGTCTCCTGAGGTTAGGGTTGTCTTGCTAGAAGTATTAAATTGAAGCGTATTTTTGAATACCTCCTTTTTTGCCCAGTAGAACTATGTTGATTTTAAAAAAAGATTCTGTTCCTGGTCATCCATACTTTGCCAAAATTGATAAGTTCATCGCAGATCACTATGAAGAAGGGAAAAATTACAGGGAGTATTTAAAGTTCTCTTGTAAAGAAAAGGTAGCGGCTAATTGTTCCATCTGTAATGAATGGACAGGTTCATGTTAAGCAAGTTGTCACGTCCAAACCCTGTTCCCAATCATTCATGTCTGCCAGATTACCACTATCAACCATATAGTAGTACCAGCATTAATGAGGGAGTGCCAGACGACTGGTAGCCCAGAGTGCTGTTGAAAAAATAATATGAAAATGGCGAAGTATCTTTGTCCAACCCAAAAAGCATTCCGCATTTGCAGATAAGTATATTGTTCAGTCCAGCCTTGTAGCAAATTACCTGCGACATCTACAGGTGCTGGACTTCAGGAAACATAAAAGAGCAGATGAGAGGGTAAAGAAAGCCAAGGAGGCCAACGATAAGTCGTACGAAGAATATAACTGGGATGAGCTATGCGAACAGGAATGCAAGCTGAAGGAACTGCGTGTTCTAGAGCTTAATAAGTATTTAAAACACCATCGTTTAACGGAGCACATAAAGAGCAGAAAATCTGACAAGGTGAAGGTCATCGTTAATCATCACCGCACTAATGGAAAGCTATGCAACGGAAGAATACCAGACGAGTGACTGTGATGATGTTGATGATGATGTTGCTGATAATGACGATAATGATGTTGATAAAGATGTTGATGAAGAAGAAAACACTAATGACAATGTTGATTCTGATACTATGCACGAAGATGTTGTGCTTTCTGACTTTGGACATGATGAGGTTGAAGATTTGGTGCGGCCAACAATTACAAGATCGGGAAGAAGTATTACAAGAAGCCTGAGATAGACTTTTCTTACTTTTGAATCGTGCGAACAGTTTCTAATATTGACACTACTCTATGAACAGTTTCGACTGCATTTCCCATGAAATTGAGTGGAAAGACGTCCTTATAAATAATGACTCTTTTCATTTATAACACGGACACTTTCAATGTTTTGTCTCTTTTATTCCCGTATTATGGATTTTCAACTGTATCTTGAACAACCTATTTTGAGTTTGATATATAGTAACGCTCAGACATAATTTATCATGCACATACAATGTATAGGTTGAACGAGTCTCTTTTATAGTAAATCAACACACATGTTTTTCAATTTTATTTATGAGGGTGGGTCACTTTGAAACAAATCATTCTTTATGAGTGGTCCACTAGAAATAATTGAGTTGAAAGGGGTGGGCAATGCTAAAATTTTATGAAGGCATAAAATTTTATGAAGCCTATCACGGATGTCGCGAATGACTATGTCGCTTGCATATGATACAAACATATTGAGTTATAAATTCTATGCTGTAAGGTGGCCAACGCTCGAGCCCCAAATTTTGCTATTTTATCTCCTGGTATATGTTCGTGGCCCTTAAAGATTGACAAACATTTCACCTGTATATGGCGTTTGGAAATATTCCAATAAATTGCTACGATTTGTCGGGGATTTCGCGACAGGACCCGAAATAATTTGTGCGATGTTGGGCTATTTGCCAACCGAGCGCGCCAACCTGTTAATATGTTTGACAGAAGATACCACTAGTCCTCTACGCTTTTCAACCGTATTACATAATGCGCGCATTGTAATCATACATATCGTTTAATTTAGCCGCTTAAAATGATGTAAACAATAAAGACTTGATAAAATCAAACTTGCTGTACTAAATAAATGTAAAATGCGCGGCATATTGCGTACATTAGCCTAACATGCACAGAAAAAAAGAAGTTGATTTTGTCAGACTAAAATGAGCAAGATTTCCCGTTACATACACGATTTATACCAAGGCGGCTTTGCCCGCATGTGCTCTGGTAACCGTCACACGAATGCGCTCAAGAACCAACACGACACAGTAAATCTCGCGAACATAATACATGCATGTGCATGTGACTTTGTCGACAAAATCTTTCCGCGTGTGGCAATATAAATTACTACAATAATAATTTAAACGAATTCTCACACGGCAATCTTGTAAACGAATAGTATACTTAATTTTAAATTTTTTTGTTACTGTATATATGTCAGTAACGTGCAGTACGTGAAACGCATATACGTAGGATTATTTGGTTTAAAAGTGCTCATGCATACAGTATAAGTGTATAACAATACTGCGCATTATTTTAGCTATAGTAACAGCAATAAGGCAAACGATACAATGAGTGAGTAGCCTGGTCACTTGTCAGGGTTGTCCGCATCAAGATTATAGAGGCAGGTAGCCTACCATATATTCTGCATGTAATATTCTCCCCAAAAAGTTGACTCGCAGTACGTGTTTTATTAGGTCTAAAACCACTCGCGTTACGCACTCGTGTTTTTAAATCTAATAAAACACTCCTGCTTGTTTATTACACAGTATAAAGGTTCCCTAACGATTCAAGGATCATTACGAATGTATTGTTTTTACTGCCGAAAAATATTAGATCAATTAGAGTGTGCATTTTCCAGGTTCAAAAAGAACAACAAGTGAGCAACATTTGAGAGACTCAAGGGCGGATTTGCAAATGCAAGACGTGTCTTGGGAAGAGGGAATGTTTGGTCAATTAAACGTAACGAGAAATAAACAACTTTACTTGATATTTATTAAAAGTTTGAGGCATACAGAATGGCTATTCCAGTTTTCCAAATGTGCTTCTCTTTGATAGGCCTATTACCGTACTATTTCAGTGGCGTAACGATCATTGGGATACGGTTAGTTCAAAAACTAAGGCCCCCGACAGTTAGGGGCCTCCATCAGCCACGGCCTATCGCCCAGAAAATTAGAAAACGTAAAAAATGCAGGTTAATAATCATTGGGTAAATGCAAAATTAATAATGTTAAATAATAAAGCCTCCATCGACAATGGTTTTTAATCTATCTGAAATAAAACAAATGATATTCTTATTATAGTTGTTACATGTGTTGGATAGACTGTTATTGTTATTGTTGTTGTTGTTGTTATAGAAACGGAATTTTCCAGAACATTGTATAAAACTGTATTTGTTTTGTATTTTTGATATATTTAGCGAATACCAACACAGAAGTTCCTAGTTTCGATTCAGAGCGTTACTTATGTTTTATACATGTGAATTGTTTTTGTTATGTTCAGTTGTGCCCTTGCAATATAACTGGCTTTTACTATAACCCATGCAGGAAACATGTTTTTGGTCCACAAATCAGTTTTGCAACGAAATATAAAACGGACAGGTATGATCTTGCTCCCATGCATATATATTATTATGTCCTATATTGACGTCTGCGCTTGATATAAAGGCCTTGTCACACTATTGCACATGAGAGAAACGTATGAGAAGCGTATGGAAATTAATGAAATAATTTTCATACGCACAAAATTACAAGAATCTCTTGAAATGCCAGCGTATGAGTACCGTACATCTGGCTTACTTCTAGCGTGTTCAACGTGCGCCTAGAGTATATGCTTATCGTATAAACCATACATCCGAATACGCACAAAATTTTTAATAATGCTTTAACGAATGTTTCTGTCTTGCCGTATGCCACCGTATGCGACCGTGCTCGAAACGTATACAACCTATGCCTAACGCACCCCTATAGCGTATGTCAGCGTATACCAGCGTACGAGTGATAGTTTTCATACGCTCATATGCATGGCATACAGAGCTGTACGCAGAATTTTTTCACCAGGGGGCAGTAAGGCCTGTATGCCGAAAAAAGTCCCAAATAGCGAAAGAATAATTAATGACATTCTAAAAATCGTAAATATAGTTTTCTTTAGGGAAGAAGTTGCCCCCTGCCCCCCTCCTTCCCGCTGTGTATGGCCCTGCTGGCATAATCTAGCACGATATGCAATAGTGTGACAGGGCCTTTAATTAGTCGAATTTCATGCTTGACCGCCACCCAATAAACTTCACTCGTCGATTGGGATTTTATTTGCAGAAGCTGGCTTTCGGCATAGGTATACTATACGAAAGATATTGGTTAATACGATGTACCCTCTTTTCGATTGTTAGGTACCAGCAGAGATATTGGAGTCTAAATTTCGTTCAAAATTTGAGGCTAAAATATGTGTTGAAGAAATAAGCTTGGTTATAAAAATGCAATAGTACAAATTAAAGATACAATGTTAAGTTAGTTTCACGTAAAAGATGGTTCAGATTAGTTGCTGTCCACGCTGTATTTTGATTATTAAAGTTTTTTTCTCTTTTCGCGTATGTTGATTAAGATAAAACAGCATTTTTACCGATTTTGTAAACTTTCGAAAATCTCATAAAAATAAAATTGCATTTGCGATTTTGAACACGTTTTCTCAAATACCTATTAATTACAAGGATTGTTTCGGTGAGATAATATTCAATCCAATTTTCCGCAACTGTCTTGAGCTTATCGACCGATACAGTATCAAAACACTTGAAAATAATTGCGAAAACATGTGATATGTTATCTAGCTTTACGCGTAGCTTCTCAACTAATTTTAGAATGTGAGTCATATATATACTTGTCTCAGTGACTTTAAAATGGCTTGATGAGCGCTGTGAGATGCGATCGTAATCAATATTTTCATTTTGATAATCAACCTCGGCTACTAATTTTGGTCCAATGCTTGTGAAGTTTGCATTGAATGCATTACTGACTGTTAAACTGTTAATACCATTCCAGGTATCCTTTAAAATGGCCCTCATTATCATTGAAGAAAGAGTTATAATAGTGGTTTTTGTGGTTCTTAATTTGTAATTCACTAAATTTTTTAAATTTTTGTAATTATTCCAAGCTATTTCATCACTAGTTATTACTGCACCCGCTTTAGTCTATCCGTTTCCCACATTAATTTCTTAATTAACTTCACTTGATAACCAATGTACGTAGATCTGCAATTTGTAAAAATAAGTTTTTCCAAATATCCCAAGCTTGGTTTAGATCAGTAACTGACATTATTCTATGCCAGGGTGCAAGATCGATATTTCTCTTTTAAAGTTATTCGAATTGAAATATTTGAAATGGCAAGCCTGCATAATTTTACGCTTTGATTTAGGGCCACGTTTTTCCTTGCAGCATATATCAAATATGATCACTTAATTTTGCAATATGGCTGACTCAGACACTATGAATTTATCACTTTCCTTCGTCAGAAAAAATCAATTACTCTAGGACCTGTATATGAATTTGTATGCATTTCATTTAGGACAGATAATGTCAACTGTTTTAGGGCAAGTCAACAATGACGGTCAAAATGGTAACGCTGCCCGAACCCCAATCCGTGGCGAACCGTCCGAAACTGACCACACCCAAAAACGACGCCTTCGCCATAGTGCTACCTGGCAAATCATAACAGCTTTGGCTATTCCGAGGTGCATATATGGTTCAGAGATGGTGCTTTTAGGGGGTGGTCATTGATAAGTGCGAAATGCCTAGCAATGATATTTCACAGGAAAATGACTATGCAATACTCATATAGTCAAACGTCAATTTGTGGCTTACAACTTCAGATAAACAGCAGTGGACCTACATAAACTTTTTTCCTAAATCTTTTTTATAGAAACATAACTGGTACTTATCTAAGGGACCGGTCATAAAGTAACTGCTAGGGTGGGCTGGAGTGATTTGGGATGGGTCATGGAAAATCTTTGGGCAGTTTCGATGGGCCGCCAATTTTTTTGTATGTCCACGGTTGGGCCACCAAACAAAAAAACATGCATGTCTACTTCAAAAAATAAAGATACTAATAGTAAAAGTAAACAAAACTATCCAAATTATCAAATGCAAATGATGCTATTCTATTGAAGCCACTGAGTACTTTGTTTATACAACAACAAAAAGTGGTGGAATCACAGTAAATACAACCAACTGGA